CCAAACCTGCCCCCGTCACCCCCCAAGTTCTTCCCCTTGACCCCTATGGGGCTGCCCCCGCCGACGGCCCGTGGCGCGCGGCTTCGGCACACGCGATATGCACCGTGCACCGACGGCGCATGGAGAGGGCTGGCCGAGCAGGGTGTGAGGAGGAGCAGAGTCCTGTCGCTGACACCGTGCGAGCAGAGGTCTCCCTCCCTCCTGAAGCGGGTTCCCGCCATCATCAAACACAATCGGAAAATCACATGGCCATCATACGGCTGGCCTAGGTGGCCCCATTGGGGAATAGGCCGCAAAAATAAACAAATACGGACATGCACCCGCATGGGTATATTGGGGAACAGAAAGGTGTCAATAGGGATCGACCAAAGAAAGGTTTGTGATAGGGGCACACTCGTGGTTTACAGTAAGGTGTAAAGGTGGGCATTTATGGGGTACACGGAGAATTTAGTGGGGGACACCCCTCGTGGGGAACGCGAATGTGTAAAGGCGGGACACCCCCGTGGGACACAAAAAGGTTTCTGGCCGCGTCACACGGTTCTCGTGCAAACTGCGTGCTCGAGCCATTACTTGCCTCGGTGGTGACCAGGTGGCCCTCCTCGTACTTGGCGGCGGCGGGCGGCGGGGCCACGAGCAGCAGCGCCAGCGCGGCTCCCAGGGCCGCGGGCGTCATGGCGGCGTGGGCTCGTCCTCGTCATCGCCGTGCTCCCCTGCTGCTGCCGGCGGCACCGCGGCGGCGGCCTGCATGGGCTGCGGGGTTGGCGCGAGGCTCGGCGGCGACTGGACGACACGCGGCCGCGGCGGCGGCGTCCCTCCAGCGGGCTCCGCGGCCGCGGGGGTGTTCGCATATCGATCGGCGCCGCCGAGTCGCTAGGCAACCCGCGGTCGCACAACAGCGACCCCCCGGGGGCCGCCGGCGACCCTCCGCGTCGAGGAGCCCCAAATGGATCGGAATGTTGGCCACCGCGGAGGGGCGCTCCGCGGCGGCGGCTCGAGTCAAAACAAAGACGCGGTGCCTCGGCGCCGCCGAAAACACGACGACGGTCGATGCGCGTTATGGGGATAAGGCGGGATTAGGTCATCGGGTGTCATGGGGTGCGCGGGAGCAGGCCATTAGGTGTCGTGGGACGTGCGGGATCAGGTCACAGGGTGTGATGGGAGCGCGTGGGATCAGGTCATAAGGTGAGATTGGAGTGTGCGGGATCGGGTCCTAGGGTGTCATGGAGCGTCCGAGATCAGAAGAAAGGGTGCGGGATCAGGCTGACACAGTGCGGACCTCGCCATTACCTGACCGATGCACACTGTCATGAGAGAAGGGCCGTGGGTCGAGCGTGCCCCTAATTGCCCCTTCTACCCCGAGGTCCTCGCGGGCCCCGCGGCCCCCGGGATGGCCCCACCCCATTGACCAGTTAACCGCGATAATGTCGCTGCAGCCCGGCGATCTGCACGCGAAGGGCTGCGCGGCCGCGGCGCGCCCGCCCGGCTGGTAGGCCGTCCTGCCGTGCACGGGGGCCGGACGGGCTTGCCCACCTGGGCCCGGGCGGGCGGCCGCCCGGCGCTCGGCGGGGTAGGCCAGCCCGCCCGGCACGGCTGAGTTCCCGTTGCCTACCGGGCCAGGCGCTCACCGCGCCCAGGTGGACGTTTGGTTGCCTATCCACCCCGGCGCTCCGCGGGGAAGGCCGGCCTGCCCGGCACGGCTGAATTCTCGTTGCCTACCGGGCCAGGCGCTCACCGCCCCAAGATGGACGTTTGGTTACCTATCCGCCCCGGCGCTCGCCGCTCCAGCAGGGGGTCAGGCCTGCTGAGTGAGCTCAACGCCTGGGGCCGTATCTCTCTCTCACCTCTGCTCCCTTCGACCGCGTTCGCCGCACGGGCGGACTTACCCCGCGCGGCCGGGCACGCTCGCGCGGGGTATACGTCGCCGCGAGCCGCAACCCACCTACCCCTCACCGCCACCGCCTCACACTCAGCTACAAAACGGATCAGACCAAATAACGATAAAGGTGGGAGGCAGAGATCGGACTTTCGGGCTGTTTCGGCTGGCTGCACCGGCTGAGCCCTCAGCCGGCAGGCGGCTGGAGGCGGCCGTGTCATCAGCCAGCCGCCTGCCGGCTGGCTGTCCGGGCGACCGCCGCCACTGGCTGTCGGTTTTTGGCGTGGCAGAGCGTAGCGCACCTGTGCGGGGCAGTGGCGGAGCGTGGCGAGAGCAGAGCGCCGACGCTGCCGCCTCGAATTCAGGCAACCCAACTAGCAACCCCCCACCACGGCTACCTGGGGCCAGCCGCCACCGGCTGAGGCACAGCCGATGCAGCCAGCCGAAACAGCCCGAAAGTCCGATCTCTGGTGGGAGGCTGGTCCGTCCGCCCTAAAGCGGCTCCAGATCTCTCGTAAAGCCGAGGCCGCAGGGTTGAGGTCGCGACTTTGTGGTGGTGTATCCGGGTCCATGGGAGCAGAGCACGCGAGGGCCAGTAGTGCGAATGTGGACTGCACTGTGAATAAACTGGAAACGCAATGAATGACACACATTTTGTAGGTGCGGGTGATTGCCCATACGTGCCCTGAGGGCAGTAAAAGGTGTAAATTTTCCTTTGATATTCACAGGCGTGTACGCCGGGCTACCTGCCTGCGGGCCGCACCTCAGGCGTGAAAGGTAATTTTGGAAAAGTGGCCTAAAATTTTCCCCTGAATAGGGAAAACGTTTTTTTGGGGTCGCCTTTGCGCGTCAGATCCCTCATTATTAAGGTCGCAGCTAGCCGTGTCAAAAGCGGCTTCGCGTGCGAAACGAATCACCCGCTATTGGTTTTTATGCTTGGTAACAGGCGGACCGCGAGAGCCAGGCAGGCGCGTGGATATAGTTGTTGATGGCCATCGCACACACGTGTTCAACTGAACTGTCATGTGACAAAAAATATAAAGGCGAATAGTTTGTCACAGGGGTTGAAATGAACCAATCGTTACATTGCGATGAACCATTCGTCACTAGTCACAAGAAGTACTTGTAAGGACCCATTCGTCAGTCGAGATGAATGAAGCCTTACCAACCTGGAAGCAAACAAGCCTTGCCTATACATCTGTACGCCTGTACTACGCCTTGCCTAGTGCCTCTCTGCTCGCGGCATGTCAGTACAAGCAATAATGGCACATCAAAAATAAACTAAAGAGAACTGATTTTTCGTCAGCTTGTAGGGTAAGGTGCCGAATGATGGCCACGGTACCAGTGATGGACACTTTTTCTCGATTTGCAGCCAAACTCGGCACTTTACGATCTTGGCACGTAGCTAATGTTCTGGTTAGATTCCAACCGGGGTATCGTAAGCCAAACTACCTCGCTTTGTTCTTTACATTACAAGAACATGGGAGGCCATCATTGGGCATCTTACCCTACCCTCGCATTAATACAGAGCGGGCTGGGTTGTCACGGCACCGCCGTTCATGTGCAGGGTTGGAGTGGGGGAAGCCGAGTGGGCGGCGGGCGCGGGACTTTTTGAACTGTCTTTTTGACTATACACTGTTAAAACCTTACGAAGCAAAATGCCAAATCCTTTGTAGGTACGAAGGATTTGGAAGCTTCGTAGGTAGCAAATCCTTCGGAGGTACGAGGGATTTTGCGTTTTGCTTCGTAGGGTTTTAACTGTGTAAAGGAAAATTCTTATCGCAAATTACTCGTTGCATGACCCCCTTCCTTTCCCCGTATCCCAAGGTGTTGCGCACGCACACCCGTCTGCGCAAACTATTTGTAAATATCCTAAGATTTGTGCCATTAAATCGTCCCGTGAAATCCCCACTGAAATATTACAAACAGAATACAATACTGGAGTTAGTATCATCTGCTTTTATGATCCGTCCCTGGACGGAACTTTTTATTTTCCCTCTATTTTTCAACAGTGCCGTGCCGTGCCGCGCGTCGTTGAACTGGAGCCCGGTCGAGCCCGGCCTGGCGCCGGCCAGGCAGTGTGCCTGCGTCGTCCTTCCTGGTAGCAGGTGGCGCCCAGGGCTGCTACATGGGTGCACCGATGCACTCGGCTGTCGTGTCGGTAATCGAAGATACTTTCGGTTTCCTCGTTGGGTTTTGGGGCCAGTAAAAGCTGTAAACTGTCTGTCACTCACATTTTCACACACTAAAATATTATGTGGCACTCACTGTTAATAGCTTCGTAGAACAGCGAAGCATTTACTTATTTGCAACTAAAGATAGCAATGCTTTGCAATTACGAAGCAATTCCAACAATGCCAGCAATGCCAGAAATGCTCTTACATGCTGCAAAGCATCGTTTTTTGCAATTGCAAAGTAAATGCTTCGTAGTTACAAAGGATCAAAATCCAATGCAATTCCGCAGAGTATTACTTTGCAGGAATTTAACAGTGCGATGTATTTGGGGGTAAGTGGGACGCCCTGTCTACACGGAAAAAATCAATTATTTTTCAGTACATTAGGTAATTATGGGATAGACAAGAAATTCGCTGTGGAAGCTAATAGTTGGTTGCCACAGTGAAGAGTTAGTTGCCACAGCGAAGCTTTCGGCTGTCTCTTCAGGATCCAACTGGGTTGTTCTGACAACTAATTTGCTGTCTCGCTGTCAGAACAAACCGGTTCGCTTCTGCAGCAACAGCTTCGACAGCTGCGCTGTGGCAACTAACTCTTGACTGTGGCAACCAAACAATTACCCAGCGAGAAATGGGGTATTTGGCGCGATATCGAAACGATACCGTTCCGATATCGAATGTCGTAGATTGTATCGTGAACGGTAAAAAGTGTAACTCATTTCGATACATTTTCGGCATGCGATGCGTCAAACGATATCGTATCGATATTTCATTATTTTGCACTGGATAGCCAGCACAGCGAATTTGGGATTATCTATCCCCAAATTAGCTAATTAGTTAGTTCTGAAGATTTTTTTTCTGTGTAATATCTGCAGTCCTTCCAGGATGTCACCAATAATAATCGTGACCCTAGCCTTCCTCTGCCAGAAGGGTATCTACGGCAAAACTCTCAACACTGTGATCGTAAGTTACATTTGTACCTGCTTTTACGCCTACCCAGTTAAAAGGAAAAGACCGATGAGCTGTTTATTTGACATCAATAAGGGAGTTATTTTGACATATTTCAACACCATAACGACCTATTTTTTAAAAATAAAATTTAGGTCAACATGAGGTCTAAATGAGTTCCCTTGATGTAAATGAAATGACATCACTTTGATCCAGGGCTCCGTAACTTATTACTGAGCTGCTTTTAACGTTATTTTAAGAGTGAAAGTTATATAACTTGTAACTTTTACCGTAGTCCTATGTAAATAAGTAAATCCGACTTGTCCAACTTTTTAGCAGATGACACATTTGGATTTGGATCATTTCACTAAAACTAATAAGAAAATGATATGACAAATGTGTTATTGCTTGTACTGACATGCAGAGAAGCGCAAGGCGTGACGTCAGATGTATATAGGGGGCGCGTGAAGTGAAGAAGTAAACAAAACACGTCACGCGCCCCCTATATACATTTTGTTACGTTGAGTAACTAACATTCGTTCGAGTTATGATAAATTACGGAGCCCTGCTTTGATCTTTTTCGTGACTTTTTGCTTAACAGTGATGTGTCGCATCTCTTATTCGAATAGGGCCCTTACATTACTTACGCCGAACGGTTTTACATGTGTGAACCACACAACCGCGCGCTTCCCGTCAGATGGCATTTGCGTACTACCCACTTCAAACCACTGAAGCCAAAAGAATTACAGCTCTTGACCGGTAACCTGACAATGACTGAATTATTTGATGATAGCTTCCAAGTAAGTGATGATCTGTTATATCGAGGGGGCCACGACTCCCGTAATCCTGTGTACAGTTGGAAGTGTAATCCCTGTGTTATCCGTGTAATTATTGACCAAATTTTGAAAAATTATCTCGAAATTTCAACTTATTATCCAATTATCCAGTTTGAGCCCCAGAAATTCAACAAAATTCAAGTGTAATCCCTCAAAATTCATGTGTAATCCCTTAAATCACGCAATCCTGTGTACATCCTAATTCGAAGTGGTGGCCCCCTCGGGTTATACATGCTTTAATTGAAAACAAGAAGAATGCCAGAGTATCAAACACGTTCTCAGGGATGTATAAGTACACATAGTACAAAAAGCTGCTAATACTACGTATAATCAGATAAAAACCCGGGCAGCGCCGGTCGGTAATGCACATTGAAAATGCGCCTATAAGGTAACACATTTTAGGTACATTTCATGTGCATTGCCGCATTAAATGCACACTTAATGCGCGTAATGCACATTAAGGGGAGGGTATACTGAAATCCTTAAAATCTAAACAAGAGACAAAATCAAAAAGGTGGTTTATAATAGTAGTAGTACTCACTTTAAAAACTCATTTAAGCTATAGAATGTCCAAATCCATCAAAAAACTTTGTGCATAGAACTTTTTTAACTTAAAAGTTTACGTAACTTTTAAAACTTCTGAGTTTTTTGGTGGACTTTTGGCATTCTATACCTTAAATTAATCCTCTAAGTGCATACAACTACAATTATAGAGTACTTTTTTGATTTATTTGTCTCTTGTTTAGATTATAACTTGATTAATTCATTAAATTAGGTGATTTATCAATTTTTTCAGTATACTCTCCCCTTAACCGCGTAAAAAATTCGTTACCTTTTTTGCGCATTTAATGCACATGTGCATAGGCGCTACTAGGGAACCTTCATTATTGATTGGATAACCCACCAAAAGCTGCAGTTTGGTTGAATTTGCATGACGGCAACTGATTGTTGTTTCTGAGCTGAATAGGGCGCCTAACCCAGCCGGAAATGCATCGACGTTTTCGGTGTCCAGGCTAAGACATGCCAGTACGTTGGGTGGCCTATGCACTGGCTGCAGGGGCTGCAGGGGGAGTGGCAGCTACCCCACCACTCCCCCGCCACCCGCCCCGCATCTGCAGCCCCTGCAGCCAGTGCATAGGCAACCCAACGTACTGGCATGTCTTAGCCTGGACATATCAACGGCGACACTGAATCAACCTTAATCTGACCTTTACATGGTCCGAAATTCAACGTAACATCAACTACGACGTCGATTCAATGTTAAGTCGACTTTTAATTAAAACTTACCTTACACCACCAAGTACAATACTCGCTCTTCCACCTCCAATAGGGAATGGAGAATAGAGGTAAAGAACGAGTATAAATGAACGATTGGTTATATCCATTTACAGTCAATCTTTTGATATGACAGGTCAAAATGGTTTTAGATGTTCGGTCAAATAACCAATGGAAGGAAAACGCATTTGTCGTACCGTTTCTTCGCAATGGATGCTCGACAACAAGAGACAATGTCCCGAATTTTTTCAAGGCTTTTTCTTCTAAGAGAGAAACTAAAGGCGCTTGTGTCTACAAACCTGTAAGTCCTTGAATTGCAAACATGCTCTTGACATGCTGTATGGTATTTATTTTTCCATAGGAATGCAACTCGGGGAACAGAAGAAGATCGAAGTAGGTGACAATAACTGTGACCGCTTCTGTTTACAGGGAGTTTACGAATTCAACGACACCCCAGTAGAATGGACGTTTCCAAATGTTGCAGTCATGCCGTATGGACACTATAGAGCCAGGATAAATGTGACCAGGCTGGAAAAACTATACGCATGCCTTGTGGCAGATGCTAGAATTATTCCTAAACTCGAGTGACTCCACAATTTTGATGATGATTTTATTGTTGCGCAGTGCACATCTGTCAGATTTTGCGCAGGGCCAAGGAAACCAGGAAACTGAGGAGATTTTCTGTTTTTTTTTTTTCAATAAATCTTTCAGAAATTTTCCGAAAACTTTCCAGGATTTCCAACCCTACGCCGGGCGGGCGCCGGGCGCCGCGTTGCGCGCAGCGCCCTTCAAGAAGAGAGTGTTGTCCCTGTGCTCCTGCGCGGAGGAGGGGAGAGATGGCGTTCGGAAAATCGAGTTCTACGACCCCTAAACGTTGTCCGACGGACCGCGGACGAAGCCAGAACATCTTCATTAAATACCCTCAATCTTTTTTATAAACCCGAAACCTCCTAAATCATCCGTCACTTTTCCACCTCTAAATTTGGCCACGCTATCCAGCGACGCTGCCTGAGAGATGGAGGGGGAGGGTCAGAGACAGACAGAGGGAGGGAGAGAGCGTCGCCGCTGCTTAACACGTTGAGTCCCAGGGGGGTATCCAATCACGTGTTATTGTGACCATACGTGTGCTCACGTGGGACTCAACGTGTTAAGGTCAACGATCATACAAGAAGTACATCGGACATCCACAAAACTGCAAGCTCCGATAGCACCTGGTAGGTAGGCAACATCTTACCTGAGGTGCACACGTGCACTGCGGGGCGGCCTACCCTAAGGGGACTTAGGCATGTGCTCCCGATTTTCGATTATTTTTTTCTACATTAGAACATTTTCATGATTGCTTCCTGAACGTGCCAATAAGCTCCCACCCGCTCTCACCAAAAACGATTGCTGTAATTTTTTTGCCGGTC